TCTGTTTGAAGCTATAGTAGCAAGAAGGAGAAATTTTCTGCTCGAACTGGCAGCTCACTGGCATCAGGCTGTTCAAAGGGGCTTTCTTTTTGGTCAGTGACAATTCCAACAAAACAATCAAGTAAGTAACTGAGCAATTCCATTTCCTCCATTAGCTTAGAGCTTCTGAGCGCCGCAGTGGAGTTTGACAAACCGCGTTATATGAGGAATCTTTTCCCTTCCTGTTGTGAAACTGCACTGCTTGGAGTTCAGCTGTATCCTGTTTCTTTTGTGTTATTGAATAGGAATCGAAAATAGATGTGCTTCAATGTAAAGCAATGCAATTTAGACAAACACTAGCTGGTTGTTCCAAAGTTTTTGAAACGCCTCAAAAGTGTCACCTTTTGGTAATTATTGGTCGGCACAGCAGTTACATGATGAACCTTGGTTCGTTGCTGGATGTGAAAGCTACGTCTCCTGGGAGTCTATTTATTTCCTGTTGCTATAGAGGGGGAGGGTTGCATCACATTTAGCAGAGAGGTTAGGAGCATGGCCGAAGACAGGATCAAAGAAGAGGAACTTGCCTTGAAAGGTGCCTTGAAGGAGGCAAGGGAGGGAGCGAGGCAAAGTGAATGTGGGATGGAGTTCCAGAGGGTGGAGACAGGGAGGCCGAAGGCCCGACTGCAGATGGTGTGGCAGGTTGGGGGGAGGACATGGGAGCAGGCGAGAGCCTGCTGAGGTGTGGAGACGCGGGGGCTAGCCAAACAGGAGAACCTCGGTCTCCTACGTTCAACTGTAGACAGTTGGCTCTTATCCAGGACTTGATGTCTGACAGGCAGTCTGTCAGGACAGCAGTGTTCCTGGGGTCAAGGGTGGAGGCAGAGAGGTAGAGCTGGGTGTCATCCGTGTACATGTGGACAGAATGTCATTTGTCATCTTGACCAGGGCTGTTTCTGTGCTGTAGGCAGCACAGAAACACGATTGGGGGGGGTGGGGGGTTCATAAAGCGAGTGGCAGGAGAGGAAGGAGTAAAGCTGGGAAGCAATTACACTTATATAGCGCCATTCATGTCAGAAAGGCGTCCCAGGGTACTGGACAGTCAGAGGTTTTTGGAGTGGGGTCAGGAGGGGTGGAGGGCAGGGGGACGAATCTTGAGCGCTGACATTCCAGTTGACAGAAACGAATGCTATGGACTGAGCCAGACGTATAGATATCAAACCCAAAATAATTATTTCAAAATTGAAAGGAATCGCCAAACAAACCAATCATGACGCCACCTCACAGCAGACAGTAAGATGTCTGCCGTGAGCCCTCAGTTCAGGCAAAGAGAGAGTAAAGGGAATCCTGCCATCAAAAAATACTCCAGTTACAGATTGGCAAATTCTACACATTCATTGTGTACAAACATGCAGTAAAACCAGTTCATGGTAGGACTGCAGGGTAGGTACAACACTGTACTAATTCTGAAGTGAGTGTGGTGTGTCCTGTGACTGGAGGGGAGGGGCGTGCTTGGCGAGTTTCTGGGTTGGGAGGTTCCCTTTTTCACATCCCTGAAACAATTGGGTTGAGCAATGAGAAGTATTAATTATCATCTTCCCAGCACAGCAAAAAAAAACCCTGGGGGTTTACTTAGTGAAAGTGGCTCTGAAAAGAAGAAAGCAAACACAAAGAAATAACAGGGTGAGGACTATGGTGTGAGCACACAGGACTTTCATCTCTTGGGCTCTGGTTCAAATCCAGCCTTGGCTGAAGGGATGAAAATCACCTCAGTCTGTTGGCTGCGCAGTCAAAACCAAGCTTGGGAAATGCCGACCGAGTGAGCATGGGGCCTGCAGCACAATCGTTCCCCTAATTCGGTAATCTTAGTCTTAGGGGCCCGAGATATAGGAGGCCTGCCCTGGGGCCAAAGTAGAAGGGTCTCTACTCTGCACCTTTCCACTCCGCACCTGACCTGAGCACACTCGATTCTGGTGCCCAAAAGTACTCTGCTCTGCACTTTACAGTATATCCTGTGAAGTGCTTTGGGACATCCACCCGATGTGAAAGGCTCCGTACTGAATTTAATAATAATAATCCTTGCATTTGATATAGCGCCTTATTACGTCTTTGAGATGTCTCAGAGAGCTTCACACAATATATTGTAAAGTGAATTGACTATTTTGTGGCTGAAACTCGGCGCACAGCAGTGTCCCACAAACAGTCGTGGATTGAGTGACCATATTATTTTTTAAATAGAAAAGGATTATTATTTTTATGAGTGTCCCATTTCCCAGCACTAACATCCCTCACCATTCTATAACCTGTCTTACGATTGACATGTAAATGGAGAAATATTTCTGCCTCTTTCTGCCTCTTCCCTTAACTTATTTAGAAGAGATTTAATTTTAATACAGTGCGTCAAGGATGAAGAGTTTATTTTGTGAGTAACCACTGAACCAGGTAAGGTGGTCAAGGCACCATCTTAAAAGAAAGCACTTGATGTTATAATGCAAGGAAGGCATGATGGCTATTTGGGGATGATGAGATTAAATGGGCCAAGTGGGCCTTCTTTATCTGACTCTCTGTGTGATCTTGGTGCATATTGCTTTGGGATTGGAGAAGAGCGAGGAGATACAAGTATGATTTTCCACTCTGCCGCACTCCACATGTTCATTGGCTTGAAACCTTCGGATCCCCAAGGGAATTGGTCCTCATCCTCAGTTTCAAACACCTCCGTGGTCTTGCCCACTGCACCTCTGATCTACAACCATACTCTCCCGGCCACTCTCTCTGCTCCACCAGCTGTGACTTTCTTTCTGCCCCCTGCCTGCTCCACCCCATCAACATCAGGCGAGCTTTCAGCCGCTTTGCCCCCTCCCTTTGCAGCTGTCTTCAAACCTCACCCAGATCTCTAAAGATGTACCTCTTTAATTGTGGCTTCAGCAACCTTCCCTTACCCCCCACTCCCCGGGTCCCTCCTTGCTTGGATTTTCTAATGTGTTTTGAGATGTTCTCCCTATTTGAGATGTAAACATACACATTGTTGTTATTCAGAGCAGCGTCAGGCAGAAGAGTCCGCAACATGTTGCTGCCTCTTGCTGCAAAACGTGGTGAGGGAGGGGAGAGCAGTGTGGGAACAACCTGCCCAACTGCCGTCCCAAGGCTTGTAAGGACCAATAATGTTAATAAACTGCTAAAATGAAACGTCGCAAGGCATTTTGAAAGGCATTGATCTTTAGCTACAGAGACTTAACGAAGGAGGAAGTGTGAATGTGCAAGGAACTTTCAGTTTCTAAACAATAGTTTTGGATTCCAGTCACATGTACCCTTCTGGAAATGAGACGATGCTCCCTTTTATCACGACTTATCCAGAATTGAATGGCTTGTCGTGGAGACGATCATAGATACTGATACCCTAGATACTGCAGAGAAAGCGACTAATACTAGATGACATCACTCTGCCAATGTTCGTTGTGAAGGTGACTCAGACAAATGCAGTGGATCTTGTGAACTTATCTGAGTGCAGGGAGTGGCAGGTTGACATTCTTATGTTTTTTTGATTGTATGGGGGGGTGCGGGTCTGTCGGGGCGAGAGAGTTGATTCATATTGCATCACAGGGAGGTTGATTTTGTATCCTTGTGTTGCAACAAATCACCTGGGTTAATAACTTGCAATATATTTAATTACCCAGTGCTGAAAATGTCCATGACTAATCAGATCCTCAAGGTGTCATTCCCCTTGTTCTTCCTCCATTGCACCACTTGGGGTCAGGCTTATGTCGTTCTTTGCTTCCTGAATTTGAATTACCTAAAGAGGAAAGAATAATAATCATCATAATAAACCTTACCTTCCATATAGTGCTTTGAGATACTTTGTCATAGGCGCCATATAAAATGTGAGCCTGGATGATTATTATCACATTGTTGATGAATGCGGTCCATAACAAAACATAACATGTAGGAGCAGGAGTAGGCCATTCGGCCCTTCGAGCCTGCCCCGCCGTTCAATCATGGCTGATCTTCTAATCTAAATGGCAATTGATAAGTGAAGGACCATCTGATAAGGTAGCACATCATAGGCATGATTTTTCACTTTTTGGGGGTGGGGAATCAATTTTTGACAGAACATTAAATAATACATCTTTGAGGATATTTGCTGTATATTTAAATATTTTCTTTGACAGGAGTCTTCCCACTGAGTCAGAAAGTTGTGATTGCAAGTCCCATATCAGGACTTAGAATCACATAGTCTAAGCTGACACTCCAATGCAGTGCTGGGGATGTGTTGCATTGTCGGAGGTGCTATCTTTCGGATGAGACGTTAAACTCATCTGCCTGATTAAGTGGACGTTAAAGATCCCATGGCCTGTTCGGGTGGACATTAAAGATCCCATGGTACTATTCAAAAAGAGGAGGGAGTTTCGCCCGGTGTCCTGGCAAACAATCCACCAAATAAAATAAAATTGGTCACTCACTCATGGCTATTTGAGAGACATTTCTGTGTGCAACTGGCTGCTGCATTTTGCCCCAAAAATATGCAGCCAATCCACTTTACAGCGTATCCTGTGAAACTCTTTGCGACCTCTCAACAACGTGATCCAGTGCTATATCAAATGTTAGGATTATTATTTGCCAGAAGCTTTCTCAGGCAGCACACTGCAGTTTGTGGATTTGATTTCTCTGAGGCATTGACACACCAGAAAGGTTAGAGGTCCCATCTCCGAGCATTGTCACTCACTGACATTTGGTCGAGGGTCAAACCATCGAGGGGTAGCTTGCTTGATGGCTGTTCTCAGAAATGCTCCAATATTCTCCATCACAGAGAGACAGGGCATAGCTTGTCTCCACATGAGTTACTATGCTTTCCTGTAGAATTAATAGCTTGTATTCCCATTTAGAATCTTGTGTATTTTTTGAAGGTCCCCTCTGGAGGGAGCAGCACTCAATGCTTTGGTCAGGCACAGTATGAACAGAGACCGAGTTTACAATGTCTTGAACTGTATGTGTTTCTGAGTAGGACTCAAAGCAATGTTTTCCCGCAGACATGCAGAGTTTAGAGAAGCTGCTGCGGGATGCGGTGGTCAACGGGCAGCCTCGAACCCATCGACCTTGGAAGAAGATCCTTATCCTGGTGGAGGGAATTTACAGGTACTGTACAGTGTTGTAAGGAATTTGAAGCCCCTAAATATATGCCAATTCGGAAGCTCTGGGTGCTCACTGTGCTATCAATCTGTACAGGCTTGCTTTCAGCAAGCTTGGTCACTGTCTTCAGTATGGAGCATTACAATCCTCTCAACAAACACTTTTACCCTCACTCCCTTGTTTGCTCGCTCACTCAATCCCACACTCTCACATTCTCCGTTCTCTCACACACACACACTAACAAACACACACACTTACCTCCATCCCCAATACACGTATACACATGTAACACAATTACACAAGCACTTACCTTTTCCCCTTATATGCGCATATTTACCATCTTCACAATGACTATGTTCACTTGTTAATAACAGGTGGTGGTGAGACTATAGTGTTTGTTCTACTAATATCAAAAATATATATATGACAAACGATAAAGTTCAACAATCTGTATTCAAACCATATGACCATAAAACAACACAACACAATAGTCCGCACCATACAACGGCACAGATATACGAATCAAATAATTGAGAAACAACAGCATGCAGTCAGGAATTGCTCAGTACTCCAGACAAAACAATAAGCCCGAGAACGCACCTCAACATACACAACAGAGATCAGCCCCCAGAAATTTCTCAGGGTCAACTGATTCTGTAATACAAAACTTAATAGGTACTGGCGCTGGTAAACCCTCACACACAACCAGTCCTATAAAAACAATACTTAATTACAGAACTATCACACAGAATCACAGAGGGCGGCTCCAGTAAACTCAACAGAAACAATCAGCACCTCACCTTTCAAACGGACCAACCACTAGTACTGTTATTACTTCTCTGCCTAGAAAACAGAACCGAAAATATATTATCCACTACTCATCCTCTTTTACTTTTAATGGTCCCTTTCTTACTGGAGGTAAATTCCCTCACCCTTGTACGTATACATTGATACAGTAGAATCGATATTGATTCCACTGGGAAGTGTGCTGACCCTCTACACAGCTCCCAACTATTTCAAAGTTACGTCTTTCTTTTATGTGTTTCTAACTCCACCACCCCTTGTCACAGAGATACCTCCCACCCTTCACAGGCTGCTTTGCACGCAGAGAGATATAAACAACTTCTGCGCAACCTTCCACAGCCTGTTAGTTTCTCAGCCTTGAGATAGGCAGGCGTCTGAGGCTGCAGCCTTTTCTTTCTGTGGTCCATTGTTTTTACATCTGTGCTCAAGGACCCGATTGCTTATCATCTCTAGAGGAGTGAACATCTTCCACATGAAAATATGAAATGTAATCAGAAACTAACCTCAACCCGTCCAGCAAAGCCACTTTTAACTGTTTAATTAACAAACCTTCTGGAACATTCGGTTGCTGTTTGAAATATATCAAGGCACCCTGAGGTGATAGTCGGTATATTTCAACACACCCTCCCTCCAAACACACTTTTTCTATCTCACACACGTACACAATGGTTACCACCCTCCATACTGTGGGACAGAGACTTGCTGATCGAGGAGATGTGTGGTATCTTCAAAGGCTGAAGGTCTTGCACTGCGACTCAGTGTTGGCTGTGAGATTTCTTGGGTGGGTAAATAAAGAATTGTTGCATTGAAATGTAGCGCCTTATCACGTCCATGTCTCAAAATACTTCACAGTAGTTATTGTGTGATGACTGTATTTGTAGGTAATTGTGGCAGTTAGTTTACACACAGCAATGTACCATAAAACAGCCAAGGTGACAATGACTAATATAAATAGAGGATTGTTGGCCAGGATATTAGGAGAAACTCTTTTCCACGGAGTTAATGTAATTGTGCCACGGGATCTGTAAGATCCATCTGAACAGCCAGACAGGACCCCAGCTTAAGATCTCATCCGAAGGACAGCACCAATGCAGCACTCTCCCAGCACTGAATTAGATTATCAGCTACAAGTCCCCGACAACCTCCTGATTCAGAGGCGAGCGTGATATCGGCCAAATCTGTTCTGGCACGGCACTTACAATGGATGGGAGGGGGGAACAAAACTTATTCAAAGAGTGCAGACTCTGTCGGGTTGTTTAATCCGAGAGCATTGTGCACTCTGTTCCGTCAGCACAGAAAGCGGGCGAGTTATAAACTGGTTTGCGTGTCACGAGAGATCAACCTGACCAGAGACTGTGTTTTATTCCCTCACTTGTAAGTCAGTCCACAACAGCCTCTCAACCCCAGTGTGGACCTGTGCTTCCCATCAGTCAATGAGTGATATGGGAAGGTGGGGAGGGGGGGGGAGAGTGGAAAGAGAGCAGACAGACAGCAGCTTCTAGCCAATCAAAAGAAATGCAATTTAAACAAAACGTTTTTCAAATTAAACTATACTGTATTTTTGGTTGATTCCAGCATGGAGGGGTCGATAGTATGCCTGCCAGAGATTGTACTCTTGAAGAAAAAGTACAAAGCCTACCTCTACTTGGACGAGGCCCACAGTATAGGAGCTGTAGGGCCTACAGGCCGCGGTGTGGTGGAGTACTTCGGAGTGGACCCCGCTGATATCGACGTGATGATGGGCACCTTCACTAAAAGCTTTGGTGCAATTGGAGGATACATCGCTGGCAAGAAGGTACTGCTCAAAATCGGCTTCTGATTTTCCCTCCAGTTTGGCAGAAGCTGCCACTGTTTCTCAATAGTTCCCTTGGGGACATGTGGGCGTGTTTGCTTTTCCTGATGTGTTCTTTGTCCTGGTGTCCTCTTTGCGACAAGCCAGTTCCAATCTGCGTCAGTCGCTCATTATCTTACTTAATACCCTAGCTGTACACTTTCCTTGTGTCCTTTAGTGAAAGGTAAATACAAGGAATATTCCATAGTCATCTTGACTTTGGAACTCTTATTGCAGCTGTAATTGCAAGATTTTTTGGGGTCAGTGCATTCGATTGTCTGTTTCTCACTTCGGAGAATTAGCGAAAGAGAGAAAGGGGGAAGCAGAGATGTGTTTACTAATTCTGAAATGTGCAATCTCTTCCCCCGGGAGGGAGAAAATAGAGAATACAAGTATAGACTGGCTGTAGTCAAAGCATCATGGGATATCAAAATGTACACTGATGTATTATTGTAATCGAGCCACACAATTACTAGAAGACACTGATAATCTTTGTGCCTCTCATCGTAAGCCAAAACAACTCAACTTGATATCGCACTGGCTTGCAAGGAATTAGCAGATGCCATACTTTAGTAACCTATTCTACCCTTTCCATTACTGTAAGTGAACCAAGGCCAAGACCATGAGGGATTTGGGGTCTCAGATATTTGATATTATATGGGTATCAAATGTTGATGCTGTTTGTGAGAGTCTTGTGTGTGTGTGTGTGTGTGTGAGTGAGTGAGAGAGTTTATTAGAGTCTTCTTGTCTCTGTGTGGAGGGGAGTCTGCTGAGTGTTTGAATGAATAGCCAGTTAGCCCCTTCTGGTAATACTAGATGTTCTAACTGAGAGGATCTCTTCTCTTGCAGGAACTGGTGGATTACCTCCGAGGCTATTCTCACAGTGCAGCCTACGCTACCTCAATGCCACCAGCAATAGCCGAACATATTGTCCGAACATTGAAGTGCATCATGGGGCTTGATGGAACAACAATAGGTACGAAGATCCCCAAAGCCACAGTTTGTCTGTACCGTGTAGATCCTGCAACACCATATTGCTGGCACTAACAACAACTTGTGTTAAAGATCCCACGGCACTATTCAAAAAGTGAAGGGAGTTTCTCTTGGTTTACTGGCCAATATAGCATCCTTTACTGAGGATAATATCTTGGAGCACTTCACTGTGGTGGTGGGGTTTGATGCTGAGTCAGGAAGGGGAGGGGGCGCGGAGATGAATGTAGGTGCAGTTGAAGAGGTAGGTTTTAAGGTAGGATTTAGAAGGTTGTGGGTTCAAGCACCATGTTAGAGCATGGAACTCATAATAAAACATCCTTGCATTTGATATAGCTCCTTATCACATCGTTGATAGATGATACTCATATGGAACCATATAGTCTAAGCTGATGCTCCAGTGCAGTGCTGGAGATGTGGAGCGTTGTTGGAGGTGCTGTCCTTTGGATGAGATGTTAAACCGAGATCCCGGATGCCTGTTCAGGTTGGACATCCTATGGTACTATTCGAAAGGTGAAGGGAATTTCTTCCAGCGTCGTGGCCAAGAATCCCCCAAATAAAAATTGGTCACTGACTTCATGGCTGTTTGTGGGGATATTGCTTTGCACAACTGGCTGCCGTGTCTTGCCCACAAAATACTTTACAGTATACACTAATTTGCAGTGTATCCCGTGAAGTGTTTTGAGACGTCTCAATGACGTGATAAGGTGCTATGTCAAATGCAAGTGTTATTTTTATTTTTAATATTATTATTCCTCGATGATTATTATCGATACAGGCCTCCCGTCACAGCTTCCCTGTGTAACCCTTTGTCATTTCGGTGTCCAGGAATTGCGACGAGGCATCGGAGAAGGAGGAAAGTCTGCAGGGATGTGTAGACATATCCTGAACTCTGCCAGCCGCAGTCCTAGCTAGTAAGGTGCCAGGTGGTTACCATGTTGCCCGTTTAACAAGATTTGTCCTCATTGTGGCTGCTGACCTCTGTTACTACACCATTATACACCCAAAATGCATTTAGTGAATTCAGCGGGTATCATAAACCACATGTGTGTCTTGCGTGGTTATTCGAAATGGAAGCATGCCTCACTCACTTGTGCCTAATATTATCTTCAACACAATCCACTATCAATTATCATTCGTAGATTTTTTTTCTGTTTTATACCCCACCCTTCGGCCTTTACAAGACAAGAATTGTTCCGCAGCACCGTGTTGCCAGACCAGGATTAGAATGAAAAGAGAGTTAAATAACGGTTTTGATACAAGATTTTGGTATGTGTCATATCAACCACCAGAGGGCACTGCACTAAAGCTATTCTATTTTGCTCCATTCAACTCTTGTATGTTTTTGTGGGTTTTAATGTTTTTTCCCGAGATCATATTCAAAATGCATCCAACATAATATCACTTTGGGAAAGTTTGAATTTGGTTTTGTGCTGAATTAGCTAATTTAAGATGGATTATCATTGCTGGCTCTAAAATTGGCCTCAGGATCACTTCATTAGGGGTGGGGAAAATAGCGGACTCCAGTTTTAATTAGTTAAACTCCAGCAGTACTTCAGCCCATACTTCAACATACTCTCGGGTCCCCAAGCCTCGGCTCTTGCCAATCTGTATCTAATACTCTCTGTGTATCTCTTGAGGAAAGAGTGCGCATTCAATTCCAGACACTGCATGGTAATGGGTCTCCACATGTTACCTGCCGGTAACTGGACACGTGTTAAGACGACAGCTCTGCTCTGATGTGAAGGAGAGGGTAATTAGCGGATAGAAAAGGACAGGCAGGAGGGGTGGTTAAGAGCAAAGCACTGGATTCATTCTCGGCGATCACATTAGGATTTTTAAAAATGCATACCATGTAAACACGGGTCTCCAAAAAATATGTACATCCTAAATGATCTGATTGACAGATCTTGGGGGTTGGACTGAAATGAAACATGCCAATTGATTGATCCGTGTTATGCATGATTATTTGACGACTGTCAGTTATGTGAGAAAACAAAGAACCTCGACAAGTCTTGGATTGTAAAAAAACCGCACAACGTACCAATATTTGCATACAGACAAGATTTTTTTGCTTAATGTAAGGATGATTTTGCGTTAATGGGATCTCTGATTTAAGAGAGCCTGAGGCTTTAATAGGAGGATGGTCGGGTAGGCATTCTCGAAGGATGAGATTGTTCGGGCCGAGAGACCGTCGTTACTCAAAACCTCTCACGTGATCTCATTTCTGGCTGCACGGAGCAGACTTCCCATAGGGGGGTGAGGCGCACCTGCAAGATTAGACGTTTACAGATTCTCTTGCAAATTCAGCCAATTATGGTCACCTCCTCCCTTCCCCAGGCCCAGCGTCAGGCCTGTTGCCCTCTGAGACACTGTTAAGTGCTCTGAGACAGTGTCCCACGTGAAGAGCATTATATAAATGCAAGTTGTTGTTGCATTTGATATATATTTTAAAAATGTGGTCACTCAATCCACGTCCACAAAATACAGTCAATCCACTTTACAGTATTTCCTATGAAGCACTTTGAGACATCTCGATGACGTGATAAGGTGCAATATCAAATGCAAGGGTTTTTATTCTTATCGTTATTAAACAATCCCAATCTTTTATTTTCACAGGTGCTGAGCGAATACGGAAGCTGAAGGAAAACACCAGGTATTTCCGGCAGCATTTACAGCAGATGGGCTTCATCATTTATGGCAACGAAGACTCTCCGGTGGTGCCGCTGCTGTTGTATATGCCCGGTAAAGTAGGGTAGGTGTCAGGCCAGCACTGCCCGCCCCCCCCACCCCCCACCTCTGTTTGCACAACGATGCCTTTTATTAGCAGTAAAGTAACAGCAAACTGTGCTTTTCAGGGCCTTTGCCAGGAGAATGCTGAAGAAGAACATTGGGGTTGTGGTGGTTGGGTTCCCCGCCACCCCCATCGTCGAGTCCAGGGCTCGCTTCTGCCTGTCTGCGGCTCACACACAGGAGATGTTGGACAGGGTCGGTAACCACAGGTCTTTCATCACGCTTTCATCACACCCTGGCTTGACTACGCCAACTTCCTGCTCGATGCACTTCCCAGCTCTTTCCTCTACAAGCTGCAGATTATTGAAAACTCTGCGGTTCATGTCCACTTCTGCTCCAGACTCCGGGAACTAATCACCTCCGTTCTTGCCTGGCTCCCCATTCCTCAGAGAATAGAATACAAAACCCTTGTTCTCACCTTCAAAGCCCTTCACCGTCCTGCTCTACCCACCTCTCCGACCTCCTAACTCGGCAGACACCGGCCTGCTTCAGGTCCCCCCGCACCTCCCGCCCTACCATTGTTGATCGGGCATTCAGCATCTCTGCCCCCACACTCTGGAATTCCATTCTGCAATCCCTCCACCTCACCCCCTCTCTTGCCTCCTTTATGTCCCGTCTAAAGACCTTCCTCTTCGACCGTGCCTTGGGCCACTCTCCCACCCCCAATCTCACTGGCCTCCACCTCCTGACCCCAACTCCCAGCTCGGTTCCAAAAAATCCTGACTGTCCAGCGCCCTGTGATGTCTTTCCGATGTGAAGGATGCTGTAGAAGTGTAATTTGTTGTTGTCTTATCCTGCCACTGTGATTTGGCACATTTCACTATTTTTTGTTGAGACAATTTGATTCATCAGCAGTCAGGAGCATTCGGCATTTGTAGAACATGGGAGTGTGCAGGATCCTATTTCCTGGAGCCTGGCATTAACATTCTTTGTTGGTGTGGGTGGGTGGGTGCCAGCTTGCCTTGCTTTCAATTATCGTAGCTATAGAAATGGTCCTGAAGGTTGGAGTTGCGTTTTATAAATGCAGTACGCTTTTTAGAGAGTAGCACTCAAATTCTGTGCTCTGCTTGGATTGGGCAAGTTTCCTTACTCCCACAAGCCTAATAATAATCCCTTGAAAAACAATAAAAATTGGTCACTTTCAATCTACGACTGTTTGTGAGACATTGCTGCAATTGGCTGTCGCGTTCGCCCACAAACATACAGTCAAAAGCGCTTTGGGAAGTCCTCCCGACGTGAAAAGCGCTATATCAAATGCAAGGATTATTATTATTATTAATGTTTGTAACGTGTCATCAGGATCTTCTTTTAAACATCCTATGTGCGCTCATATATAATATATATGTATACTTCAGTGTTTAGTAAAGCTATTGTAATAAAGAAAATTGTTGTGTTTCAGGTCTTGACTGTCCTTAACGAAATGGGCAACTTCCTGCGAGTGAAGTACTCTCGAAAGCCAAGGAATAGCTGTCCTGAATTAAAGTACGACGAAAACTATTTTGAATTTGACATTTGAGCTGCTTTGGCAACTTGGGGACGGGGGGCAGGGAAGCTTCACCTTGTGGCAGACCATCACGTGCCTCCTTCCAACAGGCAGAGACCAAGAGGAGCAAGAAGAGGGTGGCTGCTGGGCTGTTTGGATTCCTGTGCGAGCTTGCACCGGCACTGGTAGCGAGCCATTAATTTGTAGCCTTACACACACTGTGTGGTGCATCACGGCTGCTGCCTCAAGTGTTGTTTACAGGTAGACCATCAAAGACCAGCCGACTCTATGCGGGCTCTCTTTCTCTCTTCCCTTCCCTCCCTCTCGCTCTCTGCTGCGATCTTTTCAGTCGCCCGTCTTCCATTTTGGAATCTTTCTTCCAAAACAAAGGGGAAAAAAATGCTGCCGTTACTCCGGGCAAACATTTGGAATACAGTAAACTCCCGATAACTCATCACTCCAAGGGAAAAGGGCTCAGTGACAAGTTATCCGGAGTGACGAGTTAGGCGTGTGTATAAATGCATAAATGAATGGGGCTGGGATATTGACAGCATGAAAATTTAAGCGGTAAGTGATAAGTTAAGCCACGATGGAGTTATCAAAAGTTTACTGTATATGTCTAAATGTGCAGCTATCGTAATCGATGCTGATTCAGGAAATAGCCAAAGTTAAACTCAGGCACATTGTGACGGGCTGGGGCTACAGTGAATTTAGAATCAGATGCCCCAGGTCTGTTGGCCATTGTCGTGGAATAACCTGTTATTACAACTAAAGAAAAAAACATTTAGATGGGAATTTGTTTTCAGGGGAAACCTTGCCAAAGATGAATTGTCTTAATCGCATATATATATATATATATATCTTAAAAAAAAGTTTAAAAGATCTGACAAATGTGTATATATAGAGGTTATAATTTTTGTAGTGAGTACTCCTTTGAAGCTCATTAAAAACACTGTCCTTGAAAAATGTCCTAATGCACATTACGAATATAGATGTTTCAAGCAGTGCAGGTTTTAGCTTTTTAAAAAGAAAGTGTTCAGTTATTTCCGTAAAAATAGATCGTCCTATTAAAACAGTCATGAGGAGTAAAAGGGAGATTTGTTAACTGTGACTATGGCTGGTTTTATTATACTTTTTATAAAAAATCCCGTGGTTTTCCCTCCTTACCTTCACGCTGTATACGTGTGCGCACACAGACATACACATTGTCCTCTGATCACAAAGCTCACTAGACTAGCTTCCGTCTTACCGTTTGTGCCCTTCTGTAAATGTCTAGTGGGAATGGCAGGATTCCTCTGTTAGTGACAGACAGACTATGGCTTGAGTTTCAACAGAGGGATGGGGTGTGGAGAGAGGGAGAGAGGAGAGTCTCAGGCACTCGGCTCCAGTAGGATTGAGAATTTAAAGCTAATGATCTGGCAAATAGAATGATGAGCATCGAGGAAGTTATCAGTTAACTACTGTTGCTGACCCCCAAAATGTTGAGGTTTGGGTTTGTAAAACCACACCACACTGCAGGGTCTATAAAGATTGACCTTTGTCGGACTGTCTTTTTAAAAGAACAATGATCAATTTAACCTAGTCTTAAAAACAGAGATTATTTTTGTTGTGAGTACTTGTTTGTTGCTCATTAAAAATGCTGCCCCTGGAAAATGGTCTAATGCATATTGAGAGTATAGATGTTCCATTGCAGTGCAGTGCAAACTTTCAGCAACTTGCCTTGCATTGCAGAAAGCTCCCGAACTTCACAAAGAGATGGAGTAGGGAATATATTGTAACCTTGGGTCCGAAGGACACTAACCCATTAATTCCCAGCACCAGAGTTGAATCTCCATTTCCAGAGCACAGTCAAGTGAAACACTTGGTCTTTGCTCCCCTTGTTTTGTAATTCTAGCTTTCTTTCAAAAAAAAAGTTTTAGAAAATTAGAAAGTTAATACTGAAATGGTAGAGTTACAAACAACTATTTGTTGGAAGTTTTGAGTCACTTAAATTCTTTTGAAGAATCTGCTTAACACTTCACTGCTGCAGCTAACGGACCCCATTTTACAGCATCGACCGAGCCAGCAGATGGTCTTGGGGACCACTCAGGGAGGCTTCTGATGTTGTTTGCACTGATATCATACGTTATGCGTGAAACGTCTGCTAATCTGTCACTCTTTGTACTTTCCTGATTCAGCAAAGAGCCCGTAGCCTTTGTTCTTCAGGTTGAAGATATCCCAGGCAGTGGTGTCACTGCCACTTATCTGTAGCAGAAGACAGCAATTCTGTTGAACAAGTGGCCTTTAAAAACAGTGTTGGAATGCACCATATGTCACTGCACCTCAGGATCTGCCTTTGTTGCAGTTGCTGTCATCTTGCTTGCAAGATGAAAGCTGCAAATTGAGATTTAAGACAGTCTAAACCCAGGACCTAATAGACATGGGCCCACAGGGTAATGCGGCTCAGAATCAGCAGAGAGTGGGCAGCCCTTCTCTCGAGAGGTTTGCTAACTTGAGTGGAATAACATCACTCAGTAGGGGTGGCGGGCGGAAGGGAGGGAGCATCTGCTGAATTTGGGAGCGAGGCACTTTAGTAAGAGTAGAGGGAGCCGATTGTGCGTCAAACCATCTTACACCTGACCTGAGAGTGTTTAACAACCAGCACTGTCCACATTAGGAATGGATCCCTTTTCTAACTCCTGACATCCCTCACCTTGCCGAGCAAAAAATTCACAAGTTATTTTGCAAAATGAATAGCTCAATACACTTAACTTGTAAAGAATGTTGTTGGAAAAATTCTGTGTTTATTTTTTTGAGTGGGTAAAAAAGTATGCCCTGAGCATATTGTAAATTTTGGGGTATTTTCACCCCACACTTTTACCTTTACTGTTAAAATCCATTTTCTGTGCCACTCAGTTTAACAAAAGCAAGTCTGTTCATTGCTGCAAATGTCCAGGTTAAAAAATAAATTGGCATCACTTATAAGAGCAGCACCATCAAACATGAATTCACAGAGACTGACTTGCATGTTGTCAGAATGAACTCTAATCTGTGTCCCTCTCCCTGATAATTTACACCTCGACAGTGCAGCTCCACAGACTTCAGGCTTCTGGTGAAGGGCTGGGTTAAATAGCTAATCATTCTGGAGCACATTACTATATCAATAGGGACGGTGCCTCTTAACTTTAGCTACTTCATGCTGTGCCTGGAGCCTCCTGGGCTTATAAGACGTGGGCTTTAAGGTGGGTGGGGGGGCGTGGCGGGAAGTGTCTGTTTGGGAAGGAGGGGAATGTTTTGGGTTTTGTTTGCAAAAGGGTAATTGCAATGTTGTTAATCCCCTCAAAACTGCTTCACTTGTGGGCGCTAACACTGCGATGAAGTGTCTCTTGGTTGCACGAGACTGATACGATATAAGCGGAGGATTTGGAGATTTACGAGTCAAAGGAAGTTGTTTTCTAGTAGGGCTTCTCTCCATTTCCCATTCCACCCCCCCCCCCACACACACCAAACTAAATGAACTAAACCCTGCCACTGAGAAGCCTGTTCAGGTTATTGTGCTGACCGCCCACAGTCTTCGCTAGCTAACGGTGGGGTTCACATGCTGCTTTTAACTGAGTGTAAGACAAGCCTTCTAGTGGTGCCTTTTTATTTAATACTGCACTGTTTGTTGTTCTCACCATCATCGCACCAGTTAGTCAAGTGCACCAGTCTGGTCAACATTACGACCACGATGATGGTATTTTAAATATCGTTTTGTGTTTTTTAACCATTTTGGGTCCAGTTGGGACGAGGATATGTGGGAAGGGGGAGACGAGACAGAGAGAGAATGTTTAATGGGAGGGTGGGCTTGTATTCTTGCATGAGGTTTAAAGCTCAGCCGATTGCCTGAGAGAGCACTTTCAACTGAGCTAACGAACTAAAGAGTATAAGAGTTCAAATGTCAAATTTCCCTCCAAAACCTGCCTTAGAGAAAGTGAGGAATGGGAGAACGGTAACACTTACAGCAAGGCGTAATCCCACTTCGATTTGTGAAAATCTCATCCCCCAAAATTCCCTCTTTCGGGAAATTAAGCTCTTTATTGTTTCCTAACGGAAATAATGAATGGAAGTCCTTATCTGGAAAAGGTAATACAAAATCTGTAAAGGAATGAATGGTGGCAGAATTCCCTTCGCTCTTCCCTGAATATTCCACCCTCTCGCTCCCGCATTCTTTTCCCCAAATCTGGCAATCATTTGATACAAACTGTTTTACACCCCAAGTCTGCATTGTACTTGGTCGCTCAGTACAGACAACCGGGGTAGCATGCCAGAGGCAATAACACTAGACTGGGCAAATTACTGGCAGACTTGTGTTAAAAGACGAGGAGTTTGCAAATGGGACTGTTTTGTTGATCTATCCCCAAAAAGGCAAACATCAGGGTTGTAAATCATTATAGGAATGCAATTGTTTTCCTGCTTAATTTTTTCGGGGGGGGGGGGGGAGAAAGGAAAGAAAATATTTAGGGAAATTCGGTGCAAGGAGCCTTATACAGTTAAACATACACAGTAAAAATGAAAATTATAAGTGGGGATTCTAATATGAATTTTAAAAAATGACTGATAATATCCACGTTTGTTTTATCTTTTAAGTATTGATTTTTAGCTGGTGGGAGGGGTTGATTAAACGGCTCTGCAGTCGCTTTGTGCATCACACGTGGGCAGGCTGCGGGAAGCAATGTCCGCAGGCACATTGTGGCCCGGAGGTTGACCTGTTGAAGTCGCACAGAAAATCGCTACAAACCCACCCAAAAAGTATAATAAAACTTTTTTTTATTTTGAATCCACCATTTATTTTATCCAAAGAGTAAAAATTTAAAAATGGAACAAAGTAAAATTGATTAGAGTCCTTCAAATAAACCTTTGAAATTAAATCATTCCATATTTCTTACTCGGGTGAGGAAAGCAAATGTATTAAGTCTCCCTACTTAATACATTTGTTTAATACAGTGACGTGTGCTGAGATGCACGAAGAGTACAGTAAACCACACATAAGTCGTAGCAGTTCGGACCATAACATGAATTATGCAAAGTATGAGTTATGTCAAACTTGCATTCATGTAAACTCTTGAACATGACTTGGGCAGATGGTATGATTTATAGAGCTCAGACTTATTCGAGTTTTACTGTAAAAACTTAATTTTTTTCCTCTCCCTGCCTTCCCCTCCTCCTTTTTATTCTTTAAGTCTTAATCCTTCGTTGATAGGGCTACCAGTATTTCATTCCGAGTCTGTGCTGATGGTAACTGGCACAGAGAAGTTTGCAAATATTGTGTGTTATCTTTGATCTTTTATGTCCAGGTTTTACCCCACTCACTAAAGTGTTGGTGGTGAAATGTGTGTGTGTATATATATATATTTGTACGATGATTTTATACATAATGTAAAAAATAAGTTACATATGTATTTTTCCTTTTTTTCTCTCTGTGTGATAGCAGGGATGTTTTTATTTTGTACGATTAA